GGAAGCCGGGGCCCCACCTTCCACACAGCTGCCAAGTCAGACACAGGAAAGCCAGGAGGCTCGGGGCGGGGGGTGGGGGGGCGGGCAGGAAAGAGCTGTAGGACGGTGCTCAGGGAGGGTGGTGGGTGACTTCTGACTGCAGTGACAGCAGACAGGGTGTCTCCATGAAGGAAGTGGCATTTGGGCCCAGCCTGGAAAGATGAAGGGGGTTTGGGCAGATGGAGTTGGGGAGGGGAACTCCAGGGGGTTGGAACAGCTTGAATAAGGGCCTGGGGGTGGGAAAGCGTGGGGCGGGCTGGGGAAGAGTCACTGGTTCTGGCTGGAGGACACATCGAGGAGGGAGGAGGGATGTGGCAGTGGATGGGGAGGGAGGTGGGGGGGAGGCTTGGAGAGACGGAGGGAGGGGGAGTGCCCAGAAGCAAGAGGGGGTAATCTGGAGGGGTGGCTTGGCCTAGGATTTGAGCTTGTCAGGCAAGCTTCACCTTTGCACTTAGCGGTGTGAGTTGGACCTAGTTCCTGACCTTGCTTGCTTCCTTCACCTGTATAAGTACCTTCCCAGACTGCTGAGGATTCAGTGAGACAGTGGTTTAGGGAGGGGGAGCATGGTGCCTGAGGACAGAGGGCTGGCTCCCTGGGGCCATCTCCTGTGGAGTGTGAACTCGTGTGTGCGCAGAAAGTGTCCAAGTGCCATCCTGTGTTTACATTCGAGATAATGTGACTTCAGACCCTTTAACCTTAAAGACAGATGAGAGGCAGAGCCCCATGATCTTGACGATTTCCCCATGTGAGTGGTGGGTGGGCACGCTGGGTGGTTTCTCTAGGCCTGGGTTCTCAGAAAGGAAAGAAGAAGGGAAATGGGGAAGAAGAAGAATCGGGAGGAATCTAGTGGAGTCAGGAGAGGGGAGGGGCAGGGATGAAGACAGCAGGAGAGCCTTGTTCCTGGGGCTCAGCCCCTCCCTAGCCGGGACCCTCCGCTTCCCTCACTCCTCACGCCCCAGACGCCAGTCTGATAGGCCCAGCCAGGTAGGGGTGGAGGAGTCAGAAGCGGAGGCCTCCTGCCCCCCAGGACAGGTCCATTCCCTGGCAGATGCACAGGAACAGCAGTGAGCCGGCCTGGAGGCCCGAAAGCTCTGGGAACTCGCCCCACCGGGCTAGTGCAGGCTCAGCACCTCTTTCCTCTTGGATGAGATGGATAAAAATGCTTGCCTTGTAAGGTAACATTATCGGCCCAGTGCCCCGTACCCCGGCCAACCCTTTCCACACACGAGGCCCTTGGTTCACCAGGAGCTTAGGGTGGCCTGGGGGCATCCCAGCCAGTTCTCGTAGGGAGAACTGCTCACCTGAGGCCCCCGCAGCCACCGCCATGGGCACCGTCCTCCTCACCTCTGGCAGACCAGTCTCAGCCTCCCCACAGGGCCCTGCTTCCAGCCCCACCCCGCCCCCCACCTGCCGTTGGAGGAAGCTCTTAGTGCGGATCCAGAGCCCCCAGCCCTCTGGGTCTCCCCCACCTCAGCTCTGATCACTCGGTGCCTGTTTGCTTGTCACCTCCCCCACCAGCCTTGTGGGCAGGGATCTGACTCATCTTGGCCATTCCAGAGACAAGTGTGGGGCCTGGCACAGGAATCCTGCCCACAGGCAAGAGAGCTGGCAGTGAGGATGGACAAACAGGTCTGTTCACCCTTCCCACCCCAGCACCCGTTAGTTACTCTGTTTGCAAATCCATGACAATGCTGGGCTAAGTATGGGGCTGGGGTCAAGGCTCCTCTAGGACTGGGATCAAGGTTCAGTCTGTCCAGGATCAAGGCTCAGTGTGGGGGTAGGGTCAGGTCTCACTAAAGAAGTTTTCTGCCTCCCCCCCATGAAAGACGCAGGACTCTCCCCAGCCTTACCCACTGCTTGAAAACAACATGTTCTGCCCTTTACGTGCAGGGGCCTGTCTTCTGGGTCCTCATTATGCCCACCTTCTACCCTGGCACGGCCCGTCCTATGCTCCACCTCACACAGCTATGCTGGGATTCCCATATTCCCTTTACCCCAGCCCCCACCTGACCCCAGCAAAAGTGGCCCAAGGCAGGAAGTACTTCCTTGCAGTCCTAACTGGCCTTCGGAAACGCAGCAAGGATCCGTCCTTCTGGCACGGATACATTCCCAAGTCAAGGAGGAGTGGTTGGCAGGTTATCTCAGATTTCTCGATTATCCACCCCACTGCCCTCACTCCATTAGCCCAGATAGAGCCAACGGAGGTAAAGCCAGGTCTGGCTGAACATGCAGGTAAAGGCGTCCACTGGCCCATGCAATGAGATGTGATACCCAAAATGACCCGCCACTCGCAGTGCCTGAAATCCCTCCTTTGTGCTCCTTGCTTTAAGCCACCCTTGCCAAGCCCCCCTCTGAAACCTCTGTTCTGGGTCAGTGATCAGCTCTGAGTGTGGGGCATGTTGGATCCCTCAGCCCTGGGAGACTCAGGCCTAGCCCAGTCCCGGCTCTCGCAGCTCGGAAATGGGAGCTGCACCAGGGGCTGCCCTGGGTGGGCAGCAGAGCCAGGCTTACTTCCAAGACTGGGGGATGCACCCACCCTTCCACCCCCACCCACGCAGCCAAGCCCCCCACCATCTCTGCTGCTCTCAAGCAGAGGGTCAAGTTGGTTTGCTGGCAAGACACATGGTTCTCATTTTAATTAATTAAAGAAAAATCTAATCACTGCATTAAACTTCTCATTACTCCACTTGAATACCCGTTAAGTAAATTTAATTACCAAAGGATTGGGTTTCCCAGCCTCTTTCATTAGCTTCTGATAAGATGAAAAGTGGGCAGGGAGAAGGATGGGAAGCAGAACAATGTCCTTCCTGACCCATGGAGGGCAGGGTGGGCACCGTACCAGGGCTGCCATGGTCAAGCTTGGGTGTCTCACCAGGGACAGGTTCAGCCCAGGGCCTTGGGAGAGACCCTCCCTCCCCAGCTGCCCTTAGGAAGGGGAAAGCCTCGCACTTGGCTGAATGCTTTATCCAAGGCCAGTCTTGGTTATTTATAATTTACACCCCACCACCTTCTAAAAGAGTTTGAGGCTGCTGAGAAGAGCACAGGCTGAAAAATAAGAAATCAGAAGAAGAAAAAATTGAGAGAGAAGAAGCCAGAGGTAAGGCCACTGAGCAACTGTATGCCAGCATCCTGAGCACTTACTAGACATGGGGCCCAAACTAGCTATGAGCTTCCTAGCAGCCAAGGCAAAGAGAGCAACACACTTTGGCACTGCTGCTGGAACCCCCAGAGTATCCATGAGGGAGTGCACACTGGACCTTGGCCTTTCCATCTGTAAAAAGGGTGGGGCTGGAGGAAGGACTACTGGAGAGCAACGTTGGCTGGAGCAGTGAGCAGAAGCTTCCTGGAGAGAGAGGAACCCACACAGGCCCTAAAGAGAGGATGGGGTAGAGAGCAAGAAAAGGCATAGCAGGTGGGGGGATCGCATGGCTGAGGTTGAAGGGAAAAACAAACAATTAGAGGGGAAGAGGCAGGGGGCAGAGGAAGGACAAGGAGGCCTGGGGTGGAAAAACTTCTCGAAAGGAGGGGATGAAGGTCCACCCCATCACCAGACCCCAGGGTGGAAGGGACTGGCCCTGCTGGCTGGGGCAGAAGGAGCCAAAGCCAGAGGAGGCAGCAGGCCAGGGGGCTCCAGGACAGGCCAGGTCGGGGACACGGGTCCTATGCTAGATGGTGCCTGCCCAGAGCCCCTCCCCAGCCGCTGGGAGTGTGGGCTGCTTCAGCTCACGGCACCCCCTTCTCCAGAGAACCGCCCTCTGCCCACGGGGCCCCCTACAGGTACTACAGGCACGACCCATAGTCGGCGACTGACCGGTACAGGGTACAAAAGCCCGGCTGCCCCGTGTGGGCGGCAAGTCTACGGCGTCAACTCTACTCCAGGGCCCCCGGGACCAGCCCAAGCCTAGACTTTCCCTGAGACCATGACCTCCCTCATTCCTGCCCCAATTTCTTCTCTTCCTCCCTTCTCCCAAGAGCCCATGCTCCATAAGTCTCATGTTCACAAATCCTTGTCTCAGACTTTGCTTCTAGGGATTCTGACTGACAATTCTCCCTCTGCAACTCCTTCCACGTTTGAAGAAAACAGGATGTTGCAAACTCCCCAGGAGGGAAATAGAAGGGGAAGAGAACGAGGATGTACGGAGTAGCTGCTAGATGCCTGTGCTTCCCATACATCATTTCAAGTAGCTCTGAGAGCACCCTTACCAGGGGTTCTGCATCAGATAAGGGAACTGAGGCTCAGAGAGGCATAGGGATTTGCCCAAGGACACACCACACATCTGCATCTATCTGGGACTGGCTTCAAGCTGTCCAAGCTGGACAGACCCCACCGATCATTTGTCACTTGTCTCCCTCAGTTGGGGGTGACTTCTTCCACCAGCTAGATCCCAAGCTTCCTTTGGGAAACACCCTCCCCTCATTCCTGGTCACATGGTTGGGGAAGGACAGACCCTGACCCCCAGCACCTTTATGTTTCCAGGACCTGTGGACCCAGTTAAAGGGTCAGGACAATCCAAACAAGGATCCAATAGGGCCCAAGAGATCAACCCCAGCACTTTTATTTGTTCTATCAAGAATGCAGAATTTGTCTCCAACCCTGACCCCAGATTTAAACCTGGAAGCATGTTGCCCCAGAAACTGTTGGCCGACATCTTGTGACCATGTCATGTGAAATGCTCCTAGGAGTGGAGGTGAAGCATAGAAATACAGACAGAAAACAGGTCCTGGTCACATTGTTCGAACCACTGGATCAAATCCTGCCTGAAGCCCAACCTACCTCTGACCCTTCAGTTACATGAGCTGATAATTTTATTTTATTTAAACAGGTTTTTTGCTACTTGCAACCAAGGGGATTCTGACAGACACAGTATTCAGAAAGGTATCTTTCCTATTCCCGAGACCCAGAAGGCCCAGCTGAGTATCCCCAGGGGCCAGGGAGTGAGCAGAGTGGGGATGCCACCTACCGTGACTGCTACTGTGCCCCTCTGAGTCCTGAAGCTTGAGGAGTCCCCAGGCTGGGGTGAGGAGTGGGCTTGGAAGTTGGTCCAAGGGCTGCACAGGGACAGAGCCCTGTAGATGCAGGTGGGGGACTGTGTGGCCTCACAGACTCAGGGCAGCCAGGACATGGCCATGGGATCTCTGGAAAACAAGAGAAACAAGAGTGAGCAGTGGGGTTTATAGGGGGACAGAGGGGCCCATGGGCGCGGGGGTAGGGCAGAAGGCGGCTACACTTCAGCAAAGGTGAGAGCCAATTTCTCTTCATTTCCTCATACCTTGCCTCGTATTTCCCCTATTCACTATACCCTGCCCCCACCCCGTACCTCTCCCTCCCCCTGTGACACCTCCAGGCTGCAGAAAAGCAACTGTGGGAGGGAGGGGCTCCCTCTGACAGGAAGGGAGAGGTGGGGGACAGGTGTGGCCAGAATCCCTGGGTAGCCAGCGCGTGTGTGCCTACTGCTGGGGAGAGAAGCAGCTTCACCCTCACGCTTGGGCTCACTTCTCACGGCTCCTCTCCCAGCAGGTGCCCAGAGCCGACTTAGGGCCTGAGGCAGCCAGAGCAGGACAAGATGAGTGAGGTGGCCATCTTCTCTGCTCCCTAGTCTAGACTTCTAAAAGAATCCCAGAGAGGACAATGCTTTCCCCAAGGGAACCAGTGACGTTTCAGGCAGGGGGCAGAGAGCAGCTCCGACTGCCCCCCAGCTGCCCTCCCGCCTGAGGAATCAGGAGACCACCTACTCTGTCTTCATGCCAGCCTCCCTTGGGCACTGTCCCCAGCTGGGGCCACCCCTCTTGGGGCCCATACACTTGCCCAGCTTCTCTTGGAGGCCACACTAGGACCTCTCTGGAGAGAAGCAGTCACGGATACTTCAGACTCTGGACACTACCAGAGGTCCCAGCCTGTGCAAAGTCACGAAGCCTTGTTAGGCCCTTAATGAGTCCTCGGAGCTCAGGGCTGCCGGCCTTCTTCTTGGTTCCATAAGAAGGCATGATGACAGAGATCCCGAACCACAGCACATTAGGGCTGATTGGATTTCTGGAAATGTCTCTAGACCAGCCCAGCCCCACAGAGCTTTCTGCAGTGAAGGGAACGTTCTATACCTGTGCGGCCCAGTGTGGTAGCCACTAGCCACGACGGGATTCGGAAACGTGGACAGTGTGACTAAGAAACTGATTTCAAATTTTTTATTTAATTACTTTATATTTAAATCAAAATAGCCACAGGTGGCTAGTGGCGACCAGAGGAGACAGTGCAGCTCTGGACCAAGCCTTGCCCAGCCCCTGGCCACAGCACACGAGGAAAACGGAGGTCCACAGACAGGAAGGGATTTGCTCAAGGTCAGACAGTATGTGACAGAGACACAAAGGCCAAAGCAGAACCTTGTTCCTCCAGCTCCTAGTGCCACTGCCCGCCCCACGGTGGCCTCGTGTCCTCCCACCACGTTCGGCCCCGTCACACTAGATGCCCTGCCTTTCCCACCATGCTCAGGGCTCACACTGGGTGTCTCACTGCCGCCCCCCGAGCAGGCTATCAGGCCACCTTGGAAGGGACCCAGCTCTCCCAGCCACGGCCGCTGGCCCGTCCCTCCGTCCTTCCGACAAAGCAGCCTCAACCAATGTCCCTGAAGTTGCCTGGGGAAATCATCCCTCAGAAGGAAGTGCTCCGGGCACACAGATGTTCATGGAAGGGTTATTTATAACAGCAAGATACTGGAAGCTGCCTAAACATCCCACAACAGAGATGACAAAGTGCATCGTGACACCTCCACTCGAAGGACTATTACACGGCCATTAACAGGGATAACCATGGAACTCTAACGACATTGAACAAGAAAACAGAGAAGATGGGTGGGGGGGGTGGGCAGCAGCGGTGGCCGGGGCCCCGCGCACACTGAGGCCCGCACAGCCGAGATCCCCCGCCCTGTGCCGCAGCGTCATGGGGGGCCGATGACATAACCACTTTACAGATGGACGAGCGGAGTCCAGAGAAGCCACGCGTGCTCCTGGTTATAGGGGGAGTAAGGGCAGAGTCAGGGCCTGCGCTCTCGCTTTCTGACCCTCAGGCCAGACTTCCACGGCGGCTTCTTCTTGCCATGATGGCAACATCATGGATGCCCCTTCCTTTCCATTTATTTACTCCTCTTATTTAACAAACACATACAAAGTGCCCGGCACCTTTTGCAGTGCTTTCTAGATGTTGACTCGTGTAATCTGCACAAGAACTGTAAGATGGAGCAATTATGATGCCCTGATTTTTTTTTTTTTTGGACAAGGAAAGCAAGGTATAGAGAGATGAAGCCACTTGTCTAAGGTGAAGAGCCCCTTGAACTCCCCGCACGTTTGGCAAGTTTCCAGCATTGTCTTCGCAGGAAAAGGGCAAGGAGACAGGGAGGGATCAGTTGTTGCCTTGGGTGGGTGAAAACAAGTGTGTGCGTGTGTGTGTGTGTGTGTGTTTTCCCTTTTAAATTTCATAAAAATTCTTTTTATGGCAATTGAAAGAAAAAATTCAAGAAATAAAATAAATGTCTCAAAATCTGTCTTTAAAAAACAAGCACACACACACGAAATAAAAACATATCAAGGTCAAGCTCCTGATGCCTCCAAGAGACCTCCGCTGTGAACATAATCCACCTCCCAGCAGCAAAGCTCCTGTCTCCAGGCTTTTCTGCTCACTTCCTGTCGCCCTGGCCACTCCCTCCTGCCTGGGCGAGATCCTCACCTCAGAGGTCAGTGGGGAGCGGCCCTGGGTGGAGGCAGACTTCAATAAACGCCTCCCGCCACTCCGCACAGCGCCACAGGCCAGTGGGCCCGCTGCCTGTGGGGTCCAGCCACTGGCAAGGGCTGACCTCGAGAGGCCACGGCATCCGGGCCTCTGCCTCCAGCCCCAGCCAGCCCCATTCCACAGATGGAGAGACTGAGGCCTAAGGGGTGAAAGACCTCAGCGGAGGTTACACTGCTACCGAACAGTGACACACGTACGTGCGCACACACACGTGTGACCCATATGTTCCTGCATGCCGTGCTTCAGGTTCATGGCCAGCCCTCTCACTGAAGGAGCAGATGATTCCCAGCTTACCCACATGCACTCTCACACACACAATCGTTACATCATTAACTGCTACCATATCCACAATTGTATAATTTGCTATTTCTCCTTTACATGTTTCTGTGTTATTTTTCATCTTTTCACCACATACTTGTTGAGCCTTTACTACATGCCAGGTGTATTATAGATGCTGAGAATTCAGTGGGCTACAAAACAGACAAGTTTGATGCTCTCGTGGGGAGGGGGGTAAAGATGATTAGCAAATAAACAAGGAAGATAACTGCAAAGAGCAACAAGTACAATCAAGATAATTAAACCAGGTAACAGGAGAGAGAGGTCCTGGGGTGGGGCTAGCTGGTGGGTCAGGGAAGGTCTCTGTGCAGACGCCATACCCGAATTCACACCTAGAGGATAAGGAACCAGCCTCACCTTGAGCCGGAGGAGGAGGAGAGCAGAGGCGGGTGGGAGGCCGGTGTTTTTGGGGCCTGGCAGGAGGTGGGCAGAGGTGGGAACAACTGTGAGAAATGAGGCCACAGAGGGAGGTTGGGGCCTCGGGGCCAAGGTCGGGGCCTCGGGCTTCGCCTCCGGGGTGATGAAAAGTCACCAGGGAAGGGCTGTGAGGTCTTCTTCGCTGTGAAAAGTTCCCTGGGGCTGCTGAGTGGAGGCTGGATTTAAAGGAGCGGGCACGGGAGCAAGGGCCCAGTGGGCTGGCTGCCGCAGCTGCCAACACACAGCGACAAGGCTGGGCCCAGGTGAGGGAGGACTAGACGGATTCAGGGTGCGTGCGGGAGCAGGGCCAGCTCCTCCGAAGTTGGCGGGTGAGCTGGATGTGAGGGAGTGGGAGTAAGAAAAGGAACCACGGATGACTCTTATCTTCCACCACACACATGCCCTGCTTTTACCACCACCCCCCATACAATTTGCACGATTAGAAAATAACACCGCAGATGAGCAAGTACCACCCCCCACACTGAGTCTCGCATGCCCCTGAGGCATCTTACTTCCAGAGCCCCTGCTCTGTTCCCTGTCCTGTGTGTGGTGCGTGGGGAGGAGCAAGACTGGGTCCCGCCCTCAGGCTGACAAGATTGTCCAAAAAGGCAGGATAGGAGAGGGTTCGGGGGCTGCCCCAGAGCAGGCCCCCAGCTGGCTGCACCTGTGAGCAGCAAGGCTGGGGAAAAGCCGGCTTCAGAGCCCTTGCACCAGCCCCTGCTAGCCCCCCTGCTAGCCATGGGACCCTGGGGAAGTTCTTCCACATCCCCAGACTCGCTCAGCCCCCTCATCTTCGGAGTGGCTACCACCATCCTCCCACATAAGGCTGTGATGAAGGGTCGGTGAAATGAGACATGTCAAGAACTGGCATTTGTAAATATTAGCGTCCTTCCCCTTTTGTTTTCAAAAGGGGGCCAAAAAAGCCAATTCGGGCTTAGACCAGTAAGCTTCCCATCCATTCTAATAAGAAATTCTAGAAGTGCTGCACAGAACACAGGAAAGACAATGGCAAGTTTGAGTTCACTTACCAAAGAATCTTGCAGGATAACTACATGTCCCCTCTTGGCTGTTCGAAAGGATGACATGCATTCCAGCCAGCCAGGAGCGAGGCCCTCATGACATCCTTATGTAGGAGACAGAAAGCTATGCGCTGGCTCACTCAGTGGTTAGCTAAATAACCATGTCCAGGAATGTGGGAGAGTGGGTCACACCGGCTCTTGGGGGAGGATTCGCCCCTGGCAGTGGCAGGGCTGGTCCTTGGCCCTGCCCGGAACAACTTTTTTGGCAGAGACTAGGATGGAACCTTGAAGGTAGGTCCAGCCTGAGAGGGGTCAACTAGGGAGGCAGGGTCTCCTGTTCAAGGCCTTCCATGCACCCTAGGAATGGGCCACAGTATATAAAAGAGAGTTACCAGAACCTGGGTAAGCTGAGTAGCTCCAGAACCTGGGTAAGCTGAGTAGCTCCAAGAACCACTACACAGAGAGGCCAGGGACTCTGGTCATGGACTCTGTGGAGCCTGGTGGCCAGGAGACAGAGAGGCTAGGTAAGCCAGTTGCTTCGGCTCTGGAGACAGTGCAGCTACTTCCAGAAAGCCATGCCCAGGCATCTATGTGCCTGTCTAGAAGGTATTTGATAACATGAAATCTGCCCATGGGGATCCTGACAGGAAGAGGTGGGCCTGGAACCATGTTCCCTGGGGAAGTCTCAAAAGGCCTGGTCAGGACATTAGGTCCCTGACAAAGACACTTAGCATTTATGTGCCCAGAGAGCTGACCTAAGTCCAGTGGAAAAAAAAGATTCTAGGGAGACAGATTTCTGTCCATCACGAGGAGTAGTGAGCTCCCTGTCCCTGGGGGCATGCAAGCAGAAGTCTGGGAACCATGTATGTTGGGTGGGGATTTTGCACTAAATGGGGAAGTTGCTTTCAACCATGGGTTTCTTTAATTCTATCCCCATATGAATCAGGGCAAAGTGGGTGTCAGAGAGAGTGAAGGGAAAGGAAGGTCATGACCATAATGATAGTTATTATTAGTACTACATTATAGATCATTGCACATTCCCATACATTCTCTAACTGGATCTTCTGCCCATCCCAGGGCAGGATGATTAACCCCATTTATAGGATGAGGCAGTGGAGGCCCAGACAGGAAATGGAACCAGTCCAAGTTCCCACAGCACATCAGCCCCAGATTCCTTCTATGGCCCAACACCTAGGGGGCCTTCCCCTCCTGCACCCTCAATGGTCATCCCACCACCCCTGCCCCAGAAGGAGCAGAAATCTCTCCACCACGTGGGGATTTCATCCAGGTGCCGAGACTCCTCATTCCCGATGGTTAGAGATTCTTTTTGCCCAACCCCCTGGAACCTGGGAGGGGAATCCCAGCCCAGAAGGCTTCTCCTCCCTGGCTACCCAAGCCCTGCTCTTCCATTCTCCCTGCTCCGTCCCCTGGTGGTCCAGCCACAGCCCCTTATGTGGGTTCCTTCAAACCAGACCTGCATCCAGACACTAGGCTTTGCCCAGGAAGTGAACTCAAGAAGGGTCCCTCCCCCAGGCCTCATTCTCCTCAAACTTACACAGGCGGCTTGTGAGTGGGGGAACCAGAGCCCACCCTGCCAGGCACGCCTCCTGGCCACCTTCCCCCTTCCTAGCCAAGAGGGGCCGAGAGAGAGGGAGAGAGGGCATCTGGGCAGGGGCGGTGGTAGTCCCTGGGGAAGAGGACCCGCAGGGCAGCCGCATCCGGTACCGCTCCTCGCCCACAGCACACCCTGAGCCCTCAGGATCCTTTTACTTTCCAGGTGAGGGAATGAAGGCTCAGAGAGATGAAGGAACTTGTCCAAGTTCAAAATATTAAATGGAACAGAAGAAACAGCTTGTAAGTCCTGGAGTCAGGGTTTGAACCCGGGACCAGCTGAATCCAACCACCTGGCGCTTTCGCGTGCCCCCTGCTGTCGGTGCAGAAGTAGCAGGCGGCTCAGACAGGCGGCCTGGTGGGCAGAAGACAGGGGTGAGATGGCAAGACAGAGACACGGGGCAGCGGGGACGGATGAACCGACAAGTGGCTCCTGCAGGGGCCAGAACGAGACAGCTCCCGAAGCCACCCTCCTGATCGATGAAAGGCCACCAAGTGCCACCTCTGCTGCCATCTGCCCCTCACATCTGCCCCAAGTGTTGCCTGAGTCCTTCCCCAGACATCCAGGCCTGAGCGCCAGACAAAACTCCTCCCTTGAGTCTCCCATTCTCGGAGGGTCCCAGGCCAGGGCCTGGGGGGTCCGCCCTGGGGCGGGGGCCGGGGATGGGCAGAGGGAGTAGGGGGCCTGTCCTAGCCCCGGGCAAGACCGTCTGCCCAGCTTCCGCAGCCCACGCCCAGCCCGCGGGTGTAGCACGCAGACTGCCCACCCGCACGGCACACCCTCCGGCCCCATGTGGCCGAGCCGGGTGTCCCCGGGCCCTGCTGGCGGCCAAGTACAACCCGCCTGTCCTCAGAGCATGCAGGCTTTGAGCAACAGCCTCGCCACTGAATATTTAAGAAGGAAAATACTTTTTTTTTTTTCCAAGAAAGAGAGAGAGAGAAAGGGAGGGAGGAGGAAGCCCGCAAAAAAGGAGGAGGGAAAGAGGGAGGGAGAAACCTACCCCATCACTGCAGTCAAGGTCACAGGCATCGTCGTGGGGCGGCGCGGGCAAGGAGCCTTTAATCTGAGAGTTCAGGCTGAGGAAACTAAACGCTTGAAGCCGGAGTACATTACTGCCCTGAATGATCTGTCGGCTTCTATTAGGCTAAATATCTCTGTATAATGGGGAATTATCCTCTGAAAAGGCAAACTGCCGGCCTCTGCAGGGAGGGGGCGTGCGGCGGGAACCTCTCCTCATGAGGGTTCTCCCACGGGAGGGGGGGAAGAGCAGGACCAACTCAGAAAGCCACCCCCCATCCACACCCCCTCCCCGGAAAGTCACAGTCAGCAGCTGTTTGATGCTTCTGGCGGGCGCCAGCCTCCCTCCCCCTCTTCCTCAGACTCTCCTTCACTCCCTCCACATAGGAGCCTGAAAAGATGCCAGACCGGGGGTAGAGGCCTGACAATGCCTTGGTCACAGCAGGTGACCTGGGGGGAGTCCCTGAGCCTCTCGGAACCTCTGCGTCCCCACCTTTTAGACGGAGCTCGTAACAGCCACCCAAAGGCCGTACCGGGGCAGGGTATGAAGCTGGCCCAGCGCCCAGCAGGGTGGGTACCCAGGATGGTTTCACTCGTGCTGAGCCACCCACTGGTGAGGACCTCCCCCTCCAAGTCCCCTCCTCCTCCTCCTCACTCCCCACTGGGCATCATCACCTCCTCCAGGAAACACGCCCTCCAGGAACCCCACTCATGGGTATCTCCTACAGCCAGAAACCCAGAAACCCACCTTCTAGGCTCCCCCGCAGTGTCTAGTGGTTGTGTGCCTGTGGACACTCCAGGCTTAGGGGTTCCCTCGGACCAGGGCAGCATTGCCTCCTTCCCATCTTCCCCAGGCCCCCTTCTCGGACAGGGCACCTAGAACTGCCCAGATTTGGCAGGCTCGGAAGCAGGGGCTGGGTCCCCTGGAAGGTGACACTCGGGGGAAGGCGGTCAGCACCAGGGAAGCAGAGCCAGCAAGCAAGAAACCCCAGGACATGAGTCTGTGAGAGTAAAGTGGTGGGCAGACCGTCTGCAGGACTGTCAGGGCCCAAGGCAGGACTGAGGCTGGGTCAGAGCAGCACAGAGGTGGGATTCGGTGCTGGGTTCCCTGCACAGGGCTGAGGTGCTGCAGGTTCAGACCGGGAGGACTCTTAGGGGTCAAGAGGGGCAGGGCTGACCTGGGAAGGGACAGGGCCAAATGGCTCTAGCTGGGTGGGGAACAGGGCAGGAGGGCTGAGAGCCAGGTGGGGAGATGCTGCAGACCCTCTGGCTCCTCAGGATTCCCGTGCCACTCTCAGTCTGCAGGAAACCCCTGGGACAGCTCAGGACCCCTCACTGCAGATCCAGCTACTGCTGTCCTGAGGCACGTGGCTGGGCCAGGAAGGCCCATTCTGAGGGCGAGTCCAGAACCAGTGACTACAACCCAGTGGGACATCAGAAAGGAAGGCCACCCTGAGGGTAGGAAGAGGCTGCTGTGCGCTCCCACATCCCACTGTAGACCCAAAGGCCCAGCCCAGAGTCCCCACAGCAGGCGAGGGCAACTTATTCCTTGATTCATTCCTTGATTCGTTCAGCAAATGCTCTCTAATGCTTTCTGTGAACTAAAGGTACAAAAATTCCCAAGATCCTGCATCAGGGAGTTCACTGTCTAATGGGACAAGTGCGTAGGGGGGGCCCACAGGGAGATAAGGGATAATGACTCAGGGACTGTGTGAGAGTGAGAGCCCAAGTTGCTGGGGAAACAGGGTCGGGGGGGCCCCCAATCCAGGGGAAGGGTCTTTGAGAAGAGCCTTGAGGGAAAAGGAACTGGGTTTGAAAGCAATGGGGAAGGGTCCTGCAGGCAGAGGGTCAGCCTGTGCCAATGCCCAGGGGTATGAATGACGGGTACGGAGGGAGACAGCCCCTCTCCCCCAGGGAGGGCCTTGTGTGCAGAGACGGGGCTTTAGCTCTCGGCCCGAGAGCCACGAGCAGCTGGAAGGGTTTCAAGTGGGGCGTGACAGGCCCCAATCTGTGCTTCCGAAATATCACCCCAGCTGCCCCTGGGTCGAGGACGGAGGACACAGAAGAAGATAGGAAGCAGTGAAAAGTTAGGACTGAGGCAGTGAGCAGGGGAGAGAAGCTGGGGCCCAAGGCAGGCAGAGGGCTGGAAAGGAGGGGAGGATGCATGAGGGACTCAGGAGGCCGCATATGCGGAGGGAAGGCCTTGGTTCTAACACCGAGGTAAGACAATAGCAGTGTCCCACCGAGCATGACGGGTGCTCCTGTCCAAACAACACTGTCAAACTTTGCAAGCCTTTTTAAATCCAGGAGTTGCCTTGATCACGCAACATTCAGGTGAGCCGGATGAGCCAGGGATGGGTTACTTAGTTCACTAATTCAACAAGAATTTGTTGAGCGCCCGCTATGTTCCAGGCCTTGTTCTGACCTTCTCAGCAGAACGGGGAACTGAGACCCAGGAGTGCTGCCGAGGAAGGTCCACGGCCACACGGCGTGGGTGGGCATCCACAGCTGCTGCCAGTCTCCAGTGGTGAGAGCTGGGGGGGGGCTCGGGCCACAGCCTGGGAGCCTGCGGGGCTGACCGGGGATGGCCACTGGCTCGGGGCACTCATATCCTCCAGAACTGGAGAATGGCTAGGAGCAAAAGCCACACAGGAGCTGTGGAAGGGGAAGGCCTGACAACAGGGGCTGGCTCGTGGGCTGGGACAGGAATGAGACTCAGTCTGGAGTGGAAGCACCTCTCCTTCCCCGACGGGGTGGGAAGCCAGAGAGAAAGTATGAAATGAAAGGAGGCAGGTTCACGGTGCAAAGCACTGATCTGCTCTGTGGGCAGGAGGCCGGAAAGGGCAGACGGGGCATGGAGAGGGAATGGCTGGGCCTTCGGGCCCACTTGAGAGAGGAGGGGGCACGGAGGCAGGGCCAGAGGGTAAGAGCTGGGCTGGGCCCCCTGAGGTGGCTACAGGGAGGGGAGAGTCAGGGAGCCCCAGCAGGGAAGAGCAGGCCCCATGACCGCCCTAGCAGGTGCCCTGTGCGGTGGTCTCAGGCTGCCCTGTGCTCAAGGGGTGCTAAGAGTCTCCCCAGATTGTAGGCTCCCAAGGGCCCTATAGGTGTCTGGAAAAGCCAAGAGCAGCCTAACTGCCTCCAACTCCTGCTGTCACTGATGGGAGCCACCTGGGTCAGCACCAGAGTGACTCCTCCACTCTGGTTCCCAGTGGAGGCCCCAAGGCCAGCCTGTCCACGCCAAGCACTTGCAAGCAGGCTCCCTGCTTCCCTGGGCCCTAGTGTCCTCATCGGTAAGCCTGGGCAACACCTGCCTCTCAGGTGCTCAGGTAGGGAGAGCAGTGCCCAGTGCCCAGTAGGTGCACCCAGACGACTGTCTCCTTCCCCTCTCGGGTGGCGGGGCCTCTTGGAGTCCAGTCCTCACAGAAGCCCCAGTGTCTGGCACACACTTTTGCTCAATTAACTTTTACTGACCTGAGTTTAACTGCTAACCAGCTGGTAGCAAACTGAGGCGATCAGAATCTTGCCCGCTGGGGAGGGGGCTAAGAGGAAGGTGGACATCCATAGGAGGACATGGCAGATGCCCCAGGAGCAGACATGCAGATGCGGCAGAGGCCAAGGTTGTGGGGGGGACGGCAGAGGCCCCGTTCTCACCACACCCGTTAGTCAGGCGGAGCTGGCAGGGGAGCCGGTGAAGGGGACTGAGAGCTGGGGCTGGGGTGCACCCAACTGGAGGGTCCCTGGGCAGATGGGCCTCCTGGCTACAGGGCCCCTGATAGCACCCAGAGCCTTGAGAGCTGCTCCTCCAACCTACCCTTTCCCCACTTTGGAATCCACCCCACTGTGTGCCCTGCCCAAGCTAGAGCACTAGAAAGAAACTGAAATAGGTCAAAAGGAAGGAGGAGCCACTTCTGGGAGAAGGGGCAGAGCCTGGAAGGCTTCACAGAGGTGGTGGCTTTTAACTGCTCTGGGCCTCACCTTGCTCTTCCATGAAACGGGACTGCTATCCTCCCCCTCCTCCTCTTACTACTACTACCAATAATAATAGCTAAAGCATGTGGAGCACTAAAATCTGTGCTAGGCTCTGTGTGAGCACTTGGTGCCCAGAGAGACTGAGGTAGAGATGAGGCTGAGCCTGCCCTGCTCCTAGACTCCCTTTCACTGGACTGGCTTGTGGAGAGTCGACTGGGATCTAGGGCTTGGGTGGCAGGCAAGGTGGGTATCGCTGGTGGCCAAGGTCTGCGAGTTCCCAGTGTTGGCAGCATCACTCTAAGAGGCCCTCCTGAGCTGGGTAAGTGGAACGGGGCTGGGGGCTGCAGGAGGGACGCTTCCAGAGCCAGGTCAGAGCCTACACAGTGTCTGCAGGGGCAGCTCAGCTTGGCCCTCACAGTGTACAAAACACTGGTGCTGAGTGTAGCCTATACCTGCAGCTTCCCCCATGCTGTCCTCCCAGGACCAACCTCACCCACACTCCAGGTTCTAGAATTTCTTGGGCTCTAAGCAGGCAGGGGTGGAGGGAGAGGGAAGAGGAGAAAAGCAGCCGTGGCCGTCGCTGTGTGTCTATGCTGGAACTACACACCACCCCGGGCCGGTACGATTATTCCCACTTAATGAGGAAACAGGCTCCTGGGGGTAATGCCCCTTGCCCAAGGTCACAGCTGGGAGTGGCTGAGCTGGGACTCACACCTAGGACTGTCTGTTCCTCATGGACCAGGAGGTGCCAAAGGCCAGAAGGGCTCATGGGGCTGACGGTGGAAGGCACGTCAAAGCATAATCAGCAGGCCCAGGAGGGGTCTTTAGGGGCAGACTCTTCCTGACAGCCCTCCCAGTGCTGCAAGCTGTCCCCTACCCAGGGCTGGCGGGGCAGGCAGTTTGAGAAGATGAGGCAGGAGAGGGTGACAGAGGTCTCTCCTTTGACTTCCAGCAGCCCTCTGCCCCACTCACCCCTCCCCGAAAGCATCCCATCTTCCTGGTGAGATGGGGCACCTAGGAGGCCTTATGTTGCCAACAGGGCTTGAGAAGGACCTTTGCATGGGGCCGGGGGTGGGGGGTGGGTGAGGAAGTATGGTTAAGGGGAGATGAAAGTCAGCCCAGAACTATGACAAGGCCACCTGTGGGCTGTGGCTAGTGCAGGGAGAGGGTAGGGAAGGCCCAAGAGAACAGAA